TTGTTAGTAAAACAAGCTAATCTTATCCAGGTTGTATTGCTATCCTACAGGTAACTACATCAGAAAATAAGGAATACATAGCCATTTATGTCTTTAGTAGGAAACCTAGCATAGAAATAAGGAGACAGTCAAAGAGAAGATTGATTTCAAAGGCTGGTGGTGCCTGCAGGCAGTTGTGGGACAGTGTGTACAGAACTTGTTGCCTCCTGACACTAAGCATCAGACACAACAATGCAGCTCCACTCCTTCCTGAGAACATTAAGTGGTTAGACAGCCTGCATGTCTTTTCCTTTTCAAGGTCTTGCAAGGAGGAATAATTCAGGAGAAATTGCCATGCAGTGAAATGAAGTGTTGGTAGGTTTATTTTCATGCTCGGTACTCTGCATGCCAAGCCTTCACTTGTTGGCGTAAAGATGAAGCAAGAAGAGGGAGATTTGGGTTGGTTTTCCCAGAAACAGCATCTCTGAGAAATAAATCTGGGAGAAATGTTGTCGCTGTATATATGCAACCAGCAAAATTCAAGCATTCTTTTCAGTTTGGTTGTAAACTCCTGTAGAAGTGTTTTTGTTCGAGCCTCCCAGCCCTAAAGGACATGGGCTTTTCCCCATATAAGGAATGAAAGGGATTGTAAAGCAGCTATTAAAACCTACTGAGCTAATTTGTTAAAAGGTTGTCACACTAGTGAGAATAAAGTTCTCATTGTCAGCATTATATTTGCACATATTCAGTTGAATTCTAAAAATCATTCAAATTTTTCTCTTAATTGTGGAAGGTAAATCCTTTTCTCACTCAAGTCTGGAAGCATCCTACAGTTGACATCTCAGCAACAGCACAGGATCCTGATGTCAACTGTAAAAAGCAATTTGAAGACTGAGTGTTGCAGCAATTACTTATATGAGATCCCTCATGAAATACATGGAGAAATCTTGACAGGAAAGTAGTTTAGAGATGTACAGCTGTCACCTACTGTGTAGTTACAGTTGCATTTGTTGGAAATAAATTGGTATTATTCAAGAAATAGAGTCAAAACCCGTTCAAAAGCGGATGACATAAGATTTTCCTGCAAAACCAGCAAGTTGTCCAGGATATGTTTGTGTGCCTTTGTTGCACAGCCAGAGAGCAGCACAGCTGAGGTAAAAGCCATGAAAGAAATCTTCCCCATTACCTGTGATTTGAAGTGATTCAAATTCCTTACAGAAGGAAGCACTGTTTGTACCACTGCCATCTTCCACCTAAGTCCCTGAAAGACTCAGCAGGAGACTCAGCAAGGATTTGCATTGCTCTATCGGAAGGAAAACTAGTTTGGGGAGACAGGTTGTGTCTAGAAAAAAATCACTTCTAATAAGGTATGGCAAAAGTAATACCTACCACCATGCAGGCTCTGGGAGGTGCTGCCAAGAGGGCTACAGTGTGTGGTAGCCCCTGGCCATGAAACTCCTTGGCCTGCCTCAGAGCCGAGAAGAGCTTGGAAGGCAGAAGTGGTACTGTGCTAGCTTGGCTCTGCCCCAAAACTGGCACATGGAGATTACACCACTAATTATTTTCCCATACTGGACAAATCCTGCCCTGAAGGAAAAGCTATAACGTTTCCTTTTCCCAGCGCAATGTACTCCCGCCCACGGGATCATCTGGGTCTTTTTATACAAAGTTATATATTATGGAGAAAGTCTGTGCTCTTTACAAAGGCTTTTTTAAGGTTTTGCAGCCACCTTTCCTGGTGCTTTCACATGTGATAAAAAGGCTTTTATAAGCAGAACATATCTTCCCCCATTTCATCACCCCACATGTCGTATGCACTGCTTCTGTGAGAGGGCTGCCCCTCACCTGGCAAGCAGAGCGGCTCCGCTGGCTGGGAGAAGCCACCTCGCAGGGCAGCCAGGCAGGCTCCCCTCCCGCCGGGGTCTGTCACTGGATACCGGGCAGCGGGGCTGTGCCTTGGCACCCGTGGGTCCGCACGGCCTCGCCCTGCCCGCCCCAGCCCCGCTGCCACGGCGGCCCCGCCGAGAGCAGCCCCGAGCCCAGCCCCGGGCCGGGCAGTGCGGCCAGGCCGCCTCTAGGTGGGGCAGCCCGGCCACCGGCGGCACCGGCACGGCTGCGCTGCCGGCGGAGGGAGAGCGGGGCGAGCCGGGCCCCGGGACAGCGAGCCGGGCCCGGGACAGAGAGCCGGGCCCGGGACAGAGAGCTGGGTCCCGGGGAGCGAGCCGGGCCCCGGGACAGCGAGCCGGGCCCGGGACAGCGAGCCGGGGGTCTCCGGTGGGCGCGGGGAGAGGCAGCTGTGGGCACGGCGGGTTTGATGTTCCCCCGCTGAAATGTAATACCCGTCTGAGAACCGGCGGACCCCTGCGTTATGTACATCACGGTGCATGTATTAAGGCTTGTGGCCGCTTCCAGACGGCGAGGAATGGGAGGTGCGGAGCTCTGTCAAGGGTGGAGGCAAGGTGGGAATCGTGCCCCCCTCAGATATCCCCGTTTCAGACGCTGCCCTGCCTCTCCACTGCGTCCATCATGTCCACTCCGAGCCTTTCCAGCGAGGAGAGTTTGCTCCCGGTTTCTCCGTGGAACACTCGGAGGGTCCCTGTGTCCCCTCACGCCGTGGCCGGGCAGCCCGTGCCCTCCGGTGCCGCCCCGTTGGAGCGCGGCGGGAGCGGCTGCCAGCCCTACGCCAGAGCCGGGCCGCCGCTCTCCCCCCATCCGTCCTTCCATCCCTCCTTCCCTCCTTCCCTCCCTCCCTCCCACTGCCTGTCTCCCCGGCGGGGCTGGGGGCCGGGCGGGCCGGGACCACCCAGCTGGCCCCACGGCCCCGGCACGCCGGCCCTGCCCGGCCTCCCTCCGCCGCTCCTCTGCGCCTTACCCCCGCCGCCGCTCGCCCTCCTCCCGGCCTCTTCCCCAGGCATTTCCTCCCCCAAACAGAGGTTTGCTGATCAGAAAGAGGATGCAGAGATAGCCCGAGTAGGCGGAGGAAGAAAAAAAATTAAGAAAGAAAAAGAGAAAAGGAGGTGGGGGCAGAGAAGAGCTGAGTAAATTAGCAAAGAATTACAGCCACTGTAAACTATATGCAGGTATTTTAACAGCTTGGGTACGAAACTCTGTAAATCAGGGTCTTCCTGGGCTGGAACTCCATGTGCCGGAACACGGCGGGAGGCTGCACCGGGAGAGGCTCGCCCTTCTCCCCGCCGCTCGCCGACCCCCGGCAGCCGCCCGCTTTGCCTCTGTCTGAGCGCCCTGCCGCACCTGAGCAGAGCCCGACTAAAGAGACTCCCTGGCCGGAGCTCCCATCTCCGCGTGCCCCGACCCCCCTTCTGGCCACCAACCCAAACCACGACTCCCACGACCCGCTCCTCCAGCCCTTCCCCTTGGAAGAGGGGAGCTCTTCCTCTGTCCCCGCGTCTGAGGCCGCTCATCTCTTCTGACATCCCAAATTTCATCTCTTGGCTGTTAAGGAGCCTTTAAAACACTCGTGCAGGACACCCTTCCCAGCCCCCTACGTATATTCTCGTAAGTGGATTTCTCGCAGCTTCCCTAAATGCTTCTTGTTTACCTCCAGCTCTTAAAAATTCCCCTTTGGATATTTTTTAGTGTATCGTCATACCGAAGTCTTTGGTGGCAAAGCGATGGCTTTCCTAGGAAAAATTTAGGTAAAAGGTGAGTCCAAGCAGGGTTATTAAAATGGTCAGAGTTTGTTCAGAAAGATAAAGACAGTTCCCGCTTCGTCATGCAGAGATGTTCTCCAGCTTTGCACTGTGTATGAAAGTGGGATTATTTATTGATTTATTTTTGATGTAAAAAGTATGATTTAAAACATTTAATTCGTGCCAGAGTCGTTGATAATCAATTATTGTCGCTTCGTAGTCTACTGCAAACCGACGTTCATCTCTGTGAGATCAAGTAGGGAGGTGTTGGCGGTGGCCACACGCCTGTGGAGAAGCCCGGTGATGCCCTGAGAATTTAGTTCATGGAGCAAAGCGGGTTTGCGGGTCTTTTTTCTGTGCTTTATCTCCTTATGTTGCCGCGTTCACCAGCACCAAACACCCATGTTCGTGAAGCACAGGCGTTTCATTTCTCGTGTACCTGCTTGATACCCTTGCCGGCATTTTTATTAGCTCCGAGAATGCCAATAATATTTGAAAAAGAGGAAAGCATGATGCTTGGGGGCATATTGTTGTTTTGGCAACGAGTCGCAGATATACAATTCACGTGCGTGTAATAGTTTCCAAAGTCTTCCTGTGCAGGGCCGATTTCTTTTAGGGAAAGCATCGTTTAGGGAAAAGAGTTTAATCTGCGAGAAATTGCTTTGCTAATACGGGCTTTATAAGCCCCATAGACAGAAGACCGTACTTAATATAAAACCGACCGTGTTTTTAAACAAACGCAATGGCGAAAAGCGCATTTTTCAAAACGGGCCGAGGCTGATTTGCGTTTACCCCGACAGCGCGGGCGGCCGGGGGCTTGGGCGCTCATCCCGCCGCACGTACAGCCCCGCACCGGCACGGCGTCTCGGCCCCCGACAGACTCAGAACAGTCGAGTTCCGACGCCCATCCCCAGGGCACGCAGCAATGCACGCCAGACTGCGGCGTCGGTCCCGTCCCCGCGACTTTTCCCGTCGGGACCGAACCTTTCCCCGGCGCCAGGCTGCAGCGCTCTGCTGAGGCGCGGCGAGGGGGGAAACACCTCTGAACCACGATCCCGCACTCTCCAGGTGGAAGCCGCCGCTTTCTGCCACAGAGAGGGACCGTTCCTTCGAGGGTCTCCTCGGCCGCGGCAGCCGCGGGAGGCGGGGGCGCCCCGCGGGCCGCAAGGGGTTAAGAGACGGCGCGCCCCGGCGCGCGCCCCGCGGAGCCGCATCGGCCCGCGGCGGGAGCCAATGGGCGGGCGGGCCGCGCGAGGGCTGCCCAATGGGAAGGCGCGGGGCCGGCACTGTCGGGCGGCCGTGAGGGATGGCAGCGCCGCCGGCAGAAAAAGCGGAGGGCGGGCGGGGGCGGGACAGAGCGGGGCGGAGGCAGCGCCCGTGCCGCCAGGGACCCGCGGCGGCGCCCGGCGCAGCGCGGTGGCCCCGGTGGCCCCGGCCCTATGGGCGGGCGGGCCGGCAGTGGCGCAGAGAGGCTGCTCCCGCTGGCGCCCGCCCTCCCGGCGGCAGAACAGGGCCCGGCACCGGCGCGGCGGCGGCCGGCGATGCGGTCGCCCAGCTGAAGGCGCGGCACGGTCCGCTGCTCGTCCGCGGGGCTTGCCCGTCGCCGGGCCATGTCCGTCCGCGGCGGCAACGCCCTGACGCCTTTTTCCATCCAAGCCATCCTCAACAAGAAGGAGGGCCGGCGGCTGGCGGCTGTGCGGCGCCGCCGAGGACCCGCTGCTCCCCGCGCCCGCCGCCCGCGCCCCGGCCCCGCGGACGCCAGCGGGCTGGGATTCGGATTTCGCGCTCAGCGAGGACCCCGAGGGCGAGCGGCGCTCCGAGGAGGAGGGCGCCGGTGGCAGCGCCCGCCTCGCAGAAGCCACGGGCGGGGGGCGGCCGGCGGAGGAGGAGGCGCAGCCCCCGGAGGCGGCGGAGCGGGACACCACCGGCCTCAGCGACAGCGAGATGTCGGCCGCCGTCTCAGGTAGGGGCGGCCCCGATGGCGGCTCCTCCGCACCCGCGCGAGGAGGGCGGGAGGGTCCCGGAGGGCTGGCAACGGGAGATGACCGTGGCTCTCCGCCGGCTCCCCGGAGTTGTGCGACAGGCTCGGTTGTGCCGGGGGGGGGGGGAGAGAAAACCCGAAACACGTCCCGCGGGGCGAGGGAGGGCGGATCGGGGAGGGCCTTTGGCCCGGCTGAGCCCGCAGCTCGCCAGGGCGCCCGGCGCTTAAAGGAGAGAGAGAAGCCCCGGCCGCCGCCGGCGGCTGTCCCGGCGACGGGGCGGGCAGCGGCTTGGCGGGCTCTCCGCTCGCCCCGTCGCTGCGGACTGGCCGCAGGGAGCGCGCCTGGCCGCCTGTGCGCGGGTGCGGGCCCCGCGAGGAGCGCGGATGCCGCTGTCCCGGTGCCTGCCTGCCCTGACCGCCGTGCTCTCGCCCTGCCCGCAGATCGCAGCCCTCCGGAGGAAGAGGACGGAGCGGGCAAGTGCGGGAATCTGCTGCCGGGGGAGGAGGAGGCGGCGGCGGCGCCGAAACCGCGGAAGAAGCGCTCTCGCGCAGCCTTTTCCCACGCGCAGGTCTTCGAGCTGGAGCGGCGCTTCAACCACCAGCGCTACTTGTCGGGGCCCGAGCGGGCCGACCTGGCCGCCTCGCTGAAGCTCACCGAGACGCAGGTGAAGATCTGGTTTCAGAACCGGCGCTACAAAACCAAGCGGCGGCAGATGGCCGCCGACCTCCTGGCCGCCGCCCCCGCCGCCAAGAAGGTGGCCGTCAAGGTGCTGGTGCGCGACGACCAGAGACAGTACCACCCTGGCGAGGTGCTGCGGCCGCCCTCGCTGCTCTCTCTCCAGCCATCCTACTACTACCCCTACTACTGCCTGCCCGGGTGGGCTCTGTCCACCTGCGCCGCAGCTGCCGGCACCCAGTGAGAGGCACACATACACAGCCCCCCGGCCCCGGCACCCCCGCCATACACACTGGCAGCCAGGAAACCCATCTTCCCTCTGCCACCCCCCCATCCATCAATCCATCCGTTCAGCTTCTCAAGTCCAGAGCCCCAGCTGCAGCTCTCAGTGCCTCGGACAATATTTATTATTATTTTATTGTTATTTTTATTATTAATATTTTTGGATGGTTCCTCACCCTCTACTCTTTCAACGTAGGACTTCTTGGCCACCCCCACCCTGACCCTCACCCTGTCCCTATCCCGCCAGCCGAGGACTCTCGCGATTCGGCACAACTTGTTCATGGTATCCATGTTGTCAGTGTATTTGGTGTAGACTTTTTGTTTCTTTGTTTTATTTTGCTTCGGATGGGTAGAGACTCGATCTTGTGTGGAGAAAAAGAGAGAGAAAACAAAGGAGAGGGAAAAAAAAGTACAACCCGCAAAACCAAACGCAAGTCAAATGAGGAGATCAAGGACTCCCTCAGTGGATTGTAAGGAAGATTATTTTTGTCGTCTGAGTCCTTGGTCTTCCAACTTGTTGCAAACTGAGTGTGCCTTGTATGGTGCTGAATGTATGGAAGCCTCTTTCAGGTCCCCCTACTCTTGTTGCCCATGTTATTTCTGTACTCCGTGACCCTGGCAAAGGATAAATATGTCACAAAAGGGTGAGACTTATATTGAAACTCTGACTTCTTGTTTTCCTTTTTTTCCTGAGATCTTTCCGTGTTCGGGGAGGGAGGATTTATGGATTTTTCGCACTTTCCAGATGTATTAAAGTTGTTGTTATTTTTATATTCAATGTGAATATTTCTAGTCAGGCTTTTTAAGAAATCGATGTAACAGGAAACTTTAATACCATCAGTGCCTTTTACAATTCTTCTGCAGAGCTCTCCTCCAGGGGTGGGGGTTTCTGATCTGCTCAGCAATGTAATTACAATCTCTTTCTTCCAAGGTAACTCGTTGCTTTTTTTTTTCCCTTCTTTTTTTTCCCCCTCCATTTCCCTTTTAATGGCACTGTGCACTCAACTAGATTATTTACTTCAAATGAATTGTGAATGTTTGTAAGCTACCCGCTGTACTTGTTTTGTTTTGTTTTGTTTTTTCTTAATTTATAAACTTTAGTTTAACACTTACCTCTGCTGTTTCTGTCGTTCCTGAGAGCGGACACGGATTTCCCCAGTGATATTTTTTCCCTGCAGCAGACCTCAGGCCGTAGCTCAGACCACATCCCTCCTTTTCCCACTTGCACGGTGAGGACCGTAGAGCTTGGCAGAGATCTGGACCACCTTTCCCGGCTGCAGCAGTCAGTGCTGATGCCCGTTCCCTCTTTGAGAGGCGGAGGGGACCCAGGAGCTCTGGCCGGGCGCCTTAATCACTTCTTTGGTAGCGCCTGTCCCAGATGGAGCGATCCCCCATCTGCCGGAGAACCGGGATCAGTGGCTGAATTTACGGGTGCTGGTAGCGGTGAGGACGCGGTGCAGTAGGAGGAACCACTGGGACCTCGAACTGCTTTTCCCGGTCGGTGGCAGCCTCACCGTGCAGGCTGCGGCCCCTCTACGGCGGGCCGTGCCCGTTTAAAACCGTGGCGGATCCTGGGGCAGGTGCGTGGGTCGGTGGATTGTTTTCTCTCTGCCGGAGCCTGGCAGAGAGACCGGGGGCGCGGGCTCAGGATTGGGCTGCAAGAGCGGGGCTTGGCGACCTCGACGAAACTGCCCAGGCCGTCTGTATCCCGACACTGCCGCGATAGCCACTTGGGGCAGCCTCCCGCCTTGGACTGAGTCTCCTCCAAGCCTCTGTAGAGCCCGGGCCCTCGGCGCGCTGCTGGCGGCTCTTCCTCGCCGTCGGCTGCTGTCCTCGGGCGTCTCCGCCGAGGCCATCGCTGGCCGAAGGGGAGGGCAGGCTGACCTGGGGTGGGCAGCTTCCCCCGGGGGCCCGGGGCCGGGCAGTGGCGCTCGGAGGGACCGGACCCGGTGATGGCTGCAGCTGTTTCTCAGCGCCGATGGAGCCCTGCCGGAGCACGCTCACAGGCGGCCGCGTTGCCTGGGCGCCGCTAGTTCTCCATCACCACCGGCTTCTCTCCTTTCCCGCTGGTTCGCACGGGCTTTCGCTGCGGCTCCCGGGCACGGAGTGGCTTGCAGGAAGCCCCTGCCGCCCCATCGCTTCCCGGCCGCTGTGCCTGCAAGCCGTCCCAAGGCGCAGCCGGGCTCTTTCCCTGTCAGCCCCTCGCTCTGGCCTCCCTTGCTGACATTTCGCTTTGCCCAGGCTCGGGCACCCCGCGGATTAGAAGTCCCTGCGCTGGCACCTCCAGCGGCACTCGGTAGCAGTGGCTGCCCGTGGGCTGCCCCAGCACGGGCTGGGGACGAGCTCTCTGTTCCCAAAGCCGACAGCCGTCGTGACACCGGAGGAAATGTTTTGGGTTTGGTTTTGCTCTGCCGGACGTGTCGGCGGTCCTGCTGCAGAAAGGAGTGCTCCAGAAAGCAGTCCCTTGGCAGATACGGGAGGGCTGACATTTATTTGGCCCGATCCGAAGCTCCTGTCTCTTTCTTCTTTTTTTTTTTGTAACTATTTCCTTCCGACCTTCCGACATTCCCAGCACTTTCCTTCCGTGAAAAATGAAACTTTTGGACAGCAGAATCTGGACCCCCCCGTGCACTTAGGGAGGTAAAGAGGTGCCACTGCTGCCCCGCGGTTTGCTTTTTCCTGGCCCCTGGGCACGTTTCTCTGCCTGCAGCCCCACACAAGGCACCGAGCCGCTGACTCCCATCTCAGGTTCGATGGTACAGCTCGCAACAGCGGAGGTTTTGTCCCCGGCGGGGGTGGCTGCCGGCTGTGGTTCCTATCGGGCCCCCTGTTCAAGGGAGCTGACTAACTCTAAGCCTAATTTTTTTTTTTCCTTTGGTCACTGTGTTGTATTATTTTGATTTGTGCTTGCTAACAGATGCAATGCTCTAGGGAACCTCCTGACATAAAAGGGGAGTGACTGTTATTAGAGATTCCTTGGGTTGTAACACCGAGTAACAGAATAAAGTGTCAAACTAATTTCCTATGAACCAGGTAAAACTAACGTGCCTTTTACTCGAGATAGAAGTTGCTGGAAAAGCTGATCTGAATAAAGTTGCCCGGAATTTTATTAGTGGTGTTTAATATCGAACATTTATGCATCGACAGTGTCTTCTTTTGACATTGACAAAATGCGATACTTGAGAAACGTCAGTATATGATACTGGGAAAATGTAATGAATAATTAAATGGAATTTTTCTGGAATTTGAGGCGTTTCTATTCCTGTTTTTTCTTAATAATTTTGATTTTTGAAATATAAAGCAAACTCTCGGCATCCTTTATCTTTTCTTAATGGCAAAAACTCCAGTTACACGCATGTGACTGTACTGAGGCCAAAGGAATTACTCTGTATTTTCGGTGCTTAAATTATCAGCAGAACCTGGGCTCTAACATGCTCTCTTCACACACCCTCAAACGCACATCAGCACATACATGGCTGCTACGTAAAAATAATCTCCCTAACGATGTGTCCCAATTTCGGTCTCTCCCACAAACCCCGAACCGTACAGGGGCCGTGGGAATAATTTTCCATCTGACCATGGGCAAGCTGTAGTCTTAAAAAAATTCTTGCAAAGACAAGGGGGAGAGGGGGGAAATACCGCAGCTCCAAGAAATTCGATTGTTGAAATGTAATGTAAATTGTGTATATCTTTGCATATGTCTCCATTGGCGCTTGTGTTTGTGTATTAAACAGTCGCACAGGCGCAGAGTCCAACTCTGCAGCCGGGAGGCTGCCTATATTTAGCTACCTCCTGCTCGCTCGCAGGGTATTAAAACAGGAAACCACGCTGATTTGCCCCCCCTCCGCACATACACACACACACAAACACACTCAGGTAGAAATCGGCAACACTTTCCCGGGAGGAGGAGAAGCAGCAGAAGATACCGGGGCACAGGCACCCCCCCTGGCAGTGCAGCACCTGCCCAGCCTCCCAGGGGCTCCCGGGAGCAGGGGCCAAAGGTGGCCCGAGGTTAAGGGCCTCTCCCCGGCAGGCCTTGGCAGGCTTTTTTCCGCTCCGCTTCTCCTGTCAGTGGGACGGCGACGAGCCCCGAGGGCGGCCCCGGGCTGGGCCGCGGGGAATCCCGGCCCCTTTTCCAGCGGCTCTCCCGGGTCCGCAGCACCAAACCACCGCGGCAGCCGCTCCTCTGGAACGGCTTCGAAGACAAAGACAGGGGTGCTCCTCCGCACGGCCGGAAAGCCAGACCCCACGTCTTCTGGAGATCCAGGGCGCTGCCAGTAGTGTCTCCATCGAGCAGCATGGCTTTTCCCTAGGTGATGGGAAAAATAAAGAACAAGTCTTTTTGTCCCGGCCACATAATCAAGGATATTGCCTCTCCCAACCTTTCTGAAAGCCGCAACAAAGCGGACTGTTCCTTCGCGTTGTCCGCTGCTGGGGAAAACAACGTGATTAACCGGGGAACAAGGTGAACGAGGGAGCAAATGACGCGTTTCCCATCCAGGTGTCACGGCGGTCAGTGCCGGGACATCGCACCGCTCCGGGACAGGCAGCACACCCTCCTCCGGGGGCGAGCAGAGACGCCGGTGGGCCGGCAAGCTCCACCGAGGAGCTTCCAGCCCCACTGGGGCTGCCGCCTGCGGGACCCCCGCACCGCCCGGGCAGCCGCACTACCCCGCACCGGGGCGGCTCCGCACCGCGGCTGGCCGGTTCCTTGCCGAGGGACCGCAGGACAGGGCGGACTCTTACCCGCAGGTGGGGCTTGCCATTTTCCTAGAACACGTTTAGTATTTGTGGTGTAGGATTTTTGTTTTGTTTTGGGTTTTGTTCGGGGTTTTTTCTGTTTGTTTTGGGGTTTTTTTTTTTTTTTGGGTTTTTTCCGGGGTTTTTTTTTTTTTTTGGGTTTTTTCCGGGGTTTTTTTTTTTTTTTTAGGGAGGGACGGAGGGAAGAGAGGGGGCGAGTTCACGCTCGGGCCGGCCCGGGACGGGGGTGTCGCGGTGACTGGAGCAGGCCAGGGACGAGGGCTGCCCTCCTCCACCCACAGCCGCAGACACCTCCCTGGCTCCCTCTCAGACAGGTCCAACGGCCCACAGAGGAAAACCCTGGCAGAGGATGAGGGGTTTGGCTCCTCGGTCCGAGGCCCTTGGGGTGACTGAAGAACCATCCCCGGCTCTTACCCCGGTGTTTCCCCAGGCCTGATGCCTGGGGAGCCCACTGAGGAACCGCTAGAGGTGTTTGGCACCCCAAGTGGTGCTGGCGATAGTCAGGGTGATCCTCGAAAAAAATTAAGAGTGGGGAGTGGTGGCTGCAGAGCTGCAGTTTAAGCCGTTCTGTGGTTCTCAGGTGCGCCTGTGGCTTCTTGCCTAAAATCTGACACGGCAGTAAAGAGGCCACGGCTTGGGCTCCCGAAGGACACGGATGGCAGCCAGCAACACATCCTCTGCTGAAACAGAAACTAGCCGGGGAAATCTCTCCCGCAAAAGTGGCTCGGCGCTGGGAGAGACAGAAAGGGGTTCAGAAGGCAACCCGCAAGGACTACCTGATGTCTACAGAGGGTGCAAATAGCCACCGGGACTGGTGAACGATGTCCTCCCCACCAGAGTAGGGACACTAATAACAATAACAAAACAACAAAAACAATAGCAATAGCAATAACAATAACAATAACAATAACAATAACAACAATAATAAAGGTTAAAATGCTTGTAGATATTTTAAACCTTTTTTCTTTATTAAAAAAAAAAAGTGAGGAAAAAAAAGAAAATAATCATGGGAGCTAGGAAGGCCACAAGCAACCTCTTCATGCACGGCCGATTGAGAAGTAAAACAGTGCTTCCACACGAAACGAGAAAGGTAGAAAACCATAAAAAGGGTGAAAAGAAAAAGACGGGTATGGTTTTCAGCTTGCCGGGTCTGGAGGGTATCAGCTTGCGAGGCTACCGGCGGCCGGGCAGAGGGGCGGCCGGGGGCGGCCGCCGGGCCGGGGCCGGCGCTGGGGCGAGCGCTCACGGGACAGGAGCCGCTGCTCGGGGCGGGGGCGCGGGTATGGCGTTTTCTCCTAAATTGCTCTGTGGGGAAAGCAAATCCTGCAGGCGGTGACGGCTCTGAAAAACA